TTTCATGAAGAAAAAGTCGAATTGGACCACAACTAAAGTAACAAATATATGATGTTCTAATTCTACATATACTTACAAAAATAATAATTGAAGATATTGTGTCATATAATTACAGCATTTTAAAGATTGCAAACCACACTCACAAGTTTGATGGGACATACATGCAATTGGCCTATAAGTTATGAAAAACAGGTTGTGAGTGTCATCTCTGATGTTTTATAAACCTGGGCTTGGATTACATAGAATTTATATGATTTACTTGGAGGCAGATTTTGCTGCATGTTTGCAAGATCCAATTAATTAATTCATCAAATATTTATTGAGGTCAGTGTAGGCGCCAATCTCTATTCTCAGTATATGGGGCAGAGCTATGAAAACGAAAATAAAAGATGAAAGTCATCTTGAAATACATATCTGTATATGTCTCATCAACATATAATTTGTAAATGTAATCTGATGGTCAAGAGAGTAGTTGATACTATATATGTACAGATTATATAGTATTTAGGAAATAATATTAATTAAAACAAGGTAAGAGAGATTGGGTGTGGATGCAGATTATAAATTCACATGAAATGGTCAGAAGAGTCCTTATGCAATAAAAACCCAGACTTTGAACAAAGATTTGCGGAGTGAAATATAGGCAGTGCAGACATCGGAAGGGAGCTTGAAGAAGAGTAATCGAGTATCCTGTACGATCACATTCATGTATAAGTGTGATTGTTTCTTAAGAAACCCAAGAATCAGCAGAGATAGAGAAATATATACCAGAAGTTTATTATAGAAATAGAGAACAGAATGTTTATTTTAGTCAAATTACATAGGACTCCATAGGATTTTTAAATTAATTTTTTATATAGAGAATACACATCCATTTTGAAATTTTCATGAAAAGGAAACTATTTTGGCTCATAGAATCTTGAAATATCATGCTGAGCTGGATTCAAGGGCTCAAATTGTGTATCAGTTTTATCTTTTTTGCTATTTCCCTCCTGTGATGAGCTATTCTTTTCTTGTATTATGTATTCTTCTTCATAAAGCTTAAAGATAGCCACAAGCAGCTTCAGCTACCAGCTTAGCAACCTCAATGACAAAAGAATTTTCTCTCAGTGATAGTATGTGAATACAATTTAAAAACTTAAATTGGCTTTACTTCATCACTTGCCAACCTTGAAAAACTCATTGTTGTCAGTAAGATGCAGCCCTACAATCTGACAAATCCAGATCACATAACAATATCTCCCACCTGAGTGAGAGGGGGACCATGATAATTCATCAGAATCACATTAAATATGATACATAAGTTTTCTCAAAGAAAGGGATGCTGAGAACAAATGAATGTTCACCTCTACTTTATCCTAGTATGTAGAATGAAGTCCTAAATATTTTCTGATTTCAAATTCTATTCTCTTTCCTTCTGTAAGAACATTATTACTGTTGATACCAACATGACCCCCAGTGATCTGTGGCAACATATGTATTGATGGGGTGGACTAGCTACACAGTCTTCTTCATGCTATGCAGTTCCACAACTTTACTTTATGTGCCTCTGTCCTTTCTGATGTCACAAGCTCCACTGATGAATATTGCTAACCTGATAGAAGGGTTCTTGATTGGGGAGATTAAATATAAATAGTACTAGTCCCTTTTCTGGACTTACAGATAAGTACTCAGAATTACAACCTTTATCCTGTAATAAAAACTTGAGAACAAAGTTGGATTCTTAGCGGTAAGATTCAGATCTCTTAGGAAAAAAAAAAAAAACAACTTGAAATTCACATCCTATAACTGAAACTACACATACTAATGAAGGAGGTTGTTGAGATCACATTCAGCTTTCTGAATGTGTTGATGGGCTATAAAAATGTCAAGGCTAATAGTTAAATGATGATTTTAGAAAAGAGCCTTAAGTAGATGTGAAAGCTGAAGTAATTTGGCATTTTGAAAATGCCTGGACATTGTTGCCTTTAAATAAGATGGTTTTAGAGTATAGTTCTCTTAAAGCATTAGGGTTCATAATGCCTTCGAAATGGTCATAGATGAATATGTTATATTTGAACCTAGTTACATAGTATTTTCACAATTAGTCATATTGAGAAAATTGAAAAATACATTTCATGGAACTTGATTTAAGTAATAGTGCTATAGAAATTTTTTTTCTGAATAACCCCCTGATTCCTGCAGACACTTATATTACTGTTTCATTCTACATTGTCAGGTATTTGAAAAAATGGTGAAATCTAGACAAATCTAATGTAATAATTAAAAGTTATGACTAGACAACAAGAAATAACTAATGTATTAGGTGTTTTTTTCTCACTAGAGCTAATGACTAAAGAAAAAATTCAGAAGATTGAATTCCTGTGATTTTTTATATCTGATTTCTTTGATTAACACTATATATGTGTGATTAATCCAATCAAACAGGATACTTTAACTATAAATTATATTACAATAAGTATCTTTAAAATAACTCAGCTGAGCCCAAATGCCAACCTGAGATATTTTTCTATTTTTGACACTCAATTATACAAAAGTATCCAAAATTACTCAAAATTTTAGTTGAAATTTTTTGGAAATGTGAAAATGAATATCATCTTGCAAATCAATCATCACTTCTCATTGCAAAACCTTTAAAACTTAGATATTGTTAAATAAAAGCTAAACCCCTACTGCTGCTACATAGCTTATTGTTTGCAATACTATTAATCCACAAATAGTCATAATGATCATAATTCAAAGCCTAATCAATCATCTTTTATTAAATTTTTATGTGAAGAATTCTGCTGATTCATTTTTTGACCAAATTTAAAAATATAAAGCTAGAAGTATAAAAAGTGGATTTCAGCAATTTTTACCTGACTAGAAGAGAAGTAAACAGCTTTATAAATCTCTGCAGGGAAGTTTGGAGTACAAAATTTGCAGTGTATATTTTTCTTACATGGTTCCAAAGACATGTCAAAAGTTTTAACTTTGGTTCACATATCACTGGTTTGTAACAGCGGAGTCATATTCCCGCTCTATATATTTTCCATTCATTCATTTTTTTCTTTTATTGAGTTTATTGGTACATTTTAGATATACAGCACAATTACATTCATTATTGGGATCTTATACCTTTACGTGACAGGTCTTGGGTCTCATTTTTTCCCCTTGTCCATTTATTCTTTAAAAGTAAAGACGTTTTACGTTTTTACAATTATATATGAGTGAGTGAAGAAAGGAATGAATGGATCAATCATTTGAAATTTGTTTTTAAGATTTGTAAGCACCTTTCTCAAATTTTTATCATCATTAGTAAATTTTAAGACATCATGACACAATAAAATTATATTCCATGATAGCAATTCATACCACTAAGCACTAGTATGATTTAATTCAAATTTTGAAAAGTATGCATAATCAAATGCATAAGAAAAAATGGTTAATATATTGAATGTTATTGTATGAAATTTGGGGTGAATACACCCAATTCCTAAGATTTTTATATGTACATGAAATAAATGAGTATTAAATCACATAACTTTTGGAAACATTATAGATCACTAGGGGTCTTAAGTTTTTCATCATAGGTGTAGCATGACAATATTATTGAAATTATTGTTCTCTGCCTTGGGTCTTGACTATTTCATTTCCTTATTCTGTTTTAGTAATCTTATAAAATTATATGTTTTAAAATACATCAAATCATATTAATTAAAGCTTGTAGAAAAATGGGTGCTTTTGTGGAAAGAGATCTTGAGTAATCCTATGAAATAGGGATGCTTGAGCCCAGAAACAGCCCCCGTATGACTCTGCTCACTGCCTTCAGCTTGTCTCAGCAAACATTCCTTATTCTTGGTATCTCTAAATTCCTGGCATCTCCAGTCTTCCTTCAGCTTCACTCTCACAGCTTTATACACTGCCCCATCAGGGGCATAATTTCTGGTATCTCACACCTTTTTTTGAATTCTAGATGGAATCCTCCATGACCCTGTAACTGCAACATTCTACATGCTTGTAAAATCAGCAACATGGGGATGACCTCAAGGTCTACTGCCAATTCAAGCATTATCCACGTCCTCTTGGATCACTTCTACAAAGTTAGAGTAACTGGATGACTGAACTTGGGGAAACATTTCCCTCTGGGACCCGTGATAAGCAGAGAACACTTGGGATCTCTTCTAAAAGCAAAGCCTTTCAAAGGTGTTTCCTGTTTTCCACCCTTGTGCCAGAGAAGGCTGATGTCTGACCAATTCCTGAGATGTTTTCAAGCTGTCTTATTATTGTCTTAATCTGGAGTACTTGGCTTCTTTTACTGATATTTTCATCTACCATATTCATCTACCATATTCATCTTTGCCCCAACTTTGCAGTCAATTTCTTTCCAGAAAAATTAGAAATTTTTATGTTGTTAGCTGTCTTTCACTTCTGATTCTCTCAGTAGATATGGTTGAAAGAAGCCATCAGTACCTGTGACACACTTTAAATGTTGGGCTGCCTTGAAATCTCTGCCAGTCAAATTAATCTATCAACTTTGAATGCAGCCTCACATAAATTCTCAGATCATAGACAAAAAAATTGACAAATTCTTTGCCAAAAGGAAACATACATGGCCGAGTTTTCAATACAGTTCCTATTTCCATTTTAAAACTCATGGGCCTTGCCTTTTCTTTCTGCATTACTATCAGTACTAAATGGTATAACTGATAATGTGAAATAGGAAGAAAAGGGGCAAAGGGGAAGGGAAACTGGGAGGGGTAGGGGAGATAAATAAGGGAATAGAATTAACATGAGAAAATGAAAAAAATGGAAACAAAGTCTTTGTAGATAGGGAGGGAGGCAGGGTTTGAAGGGAGGGTAAGGGAATGGGGAAAAAATAAGAACCAAGATGGAAAGGTACACATTTCCAATGATAAATGTACACCTTAAATGTACCAATATAAGTAATTTTAAAAAAAGAATTCTGGTCTTCTGACCTCTGAACAGACTCACCCATAAAGTTGTGTGTTCAACAATCTAGGGGTTCTCTTGCCTTCTCCAAAGTTTTCTCCAAAACACCTGGAAAAACATAGAGGACAACAGGTTTATTTGGGCTCAGTTTCAGTATGCTCAGTCATTTTTGTCTGCTACAAGGCAGAAACAGCTGGTGGAGGGACCTAGTGTAGGAAAACTTTTCAGCTAATGGTGGTCAGGAAACAGACAGAGAGAAGGGAATAGCTTAGGATAATAACATAATATTCTATGTCACACCCAAGTGATTTACTTCCTCTGATCAGGCCCTACCTTCACAAGACTTTTAAGGAACATTTCAGATCTAAATATAAATTTACACTGAAGCATTTAGAGCAATTGGTCACTTTGGCTATAATAAATATAATAATCTCTTTATTTTACTTTATAATTAATTAATGTAAATATTCCCTGATCATACATCAGGTGTCAGACACAAGGATATATGCTACAGATTTTAAAAAATAATTTAAGGACAGGGCCCATGGTTTCACATAATTCATTTTTTTTCTAAAAATTGTAGACTTTCAGTGTAAAAGCACTTTTTAAAATATTTATGACAATTGTTAGAGAAAACATATTTCCTATAATCTGTACTTTTAGAACTATTTCAATAACTTTACATGCTTTGAATATGCCAAAATTGCCTCTTAGAATCTCTATTTATAGCCAGTTCTCTTCCACTTCTTGCGCATATCGTTACACTATATGTGGATTAATTCAACAGGCTTTTAACTTGCTTTTGTGTGGTTAGCTAATTGTTCAGTTTGTTTATTTATTTATTTAAAGACACTGTTCCAATGAACAGAAATACAACGGGGATAAGAACGGCCAAATCTCTGAGTGCATAGAGTTTAAATTTTAATATTTTTTAGTAAAGATCATCAAAGTGATAAAAAATGTTATTTCAAAATGTAATAAATACTTTGCAAAGAATAAACCTGGTGACATAATTGAATGTCATAGAAATTAGGGACTGTTTCAGTAATTTTATTGGCAATGACATCTAACAATATTTAAGCAACGAGAGGCTTCATATGGCCAAAGATGAGGAAGAGCAATGGTGACAAAGTGAAGCAAATGGGTTCTGAAGTAAGAAAAGGATTCTACATACTATAACAGTCAAATGAAACTATAGTGTGTGTGTGTGTGTGTGTGTGTGTGTGTGTGTATTTTAGTCTCACATACATTGACATAATTCTTCTTCATGGGTCTTGAGCATCTCTGTATGTTTTGGGAGCAAACGTTTGAACTAGGCTTTTTCTGCAGACTCTTTTCAAGGGAAAGTAGAATTAACCAGTGCTCTAGTAAAAAATAGCTCCCACTTTACCTATGCTTAACTTTCATTTTTCTCCTTTTGCAATTTATTACAACTTGTAACATTTTTCTTTGTATAGTATAATTTAGTACAACACAGTTTTGGCTTAGCAAAAGCTAGTCTACCCTCATAATCGCTCTTCTATAAAATGTGAAAGTTCTGCAGGGAGAGTATTGGTTATTTTCATAGTGGCCTCAGCTTCTGGAAGTGAAGAAGGTTAAATTTCAACCCATCTATGTTTTCAGGTTAAATCTCATCAGTCTACTTGCGTGTGTGTGTGTGTGTGTGTGTGTGTGTGTGTGTGTGTGTGTGTGTTGGGGATCAAACTGAGGTCATCAGTCTACTTTTTACCATTAAATCAGTGTCTCCTGGGATGTGCAGACTGTATGTGCCTGAAGGCCTTGCCTTTCCTTCCTAAGTGTCATGCATCACAAATGAGACTGGCCACTTGACTAGTCATAGAGTGCAGGGATAGATAACCCAAAGGCTAAGGGCTAAGTTTTACTCACAAATGTATTTCTGCTGACATGCTAAGGTAATTTTTTAAAGGATTTAATATCAATATTTTACATTTTCAGGAACTTTCACATACAGTCTGTTTCTTTTTTTATTAACATAGGTTTGCTCTATATAATAATTTCCTTCATGTTGACAAATTATTATATATACACATTGTAAGAGAGAATTTAGCTATTTAACTTATAAGTAGGCAGCTAGGAAGGATAGCGTCTAAGATAGAGTTGGACTTATCAAGCATTATTACAAAGCAAACAATGCATGCACTGAGTTAAGAGGAATTCAAATCATTAAGCTTAAAAACAAAAAAGCTAACATAAGAAAAAAATTACAGATAAGAAAAGGCAGTTAAGAACTCTGTCAGGAAAACAACTTGTTGGGTAAAATGAAATACACCATGGTAGTTGCCCCTGCCTATATATTGGCTGGGAACTGGTTTCCAAGAATTTGGGGATGCTGACTGTTTTGTTTTAAACTCTACATTAAAAGTATAAGTCCCAATTGATCATTTCAGACCCATGGAACGACCTATGGTAGGCAGCCACTGAAATTGTGGGAAGATTCCTCTGCTCTGCTTATCCTTAAAAGATTACAGACAAAGATCCCACACAGCAAACCCATTTTTGGGACCCCTGTAGAATCCTAAGAGCTATTTTTCCTCTTATACTTCTAATAAACACTCCTCTGACTTTCTCTTTTGTTCAAGAATTCCTTCAACAACTTGGTTTGTATTGATTCAGCTGTTTCCATTTCATATCCTGATTATTTTGTTTCTGTTTCTGCAGTATTTGGAGGTGTGGCCACTCTTCATCACAGTCTCTCATCATAGCCATAGGGTATAACTGAAGAGAATCAGACCCCATCACATGGGACATGTGCTTTCCAGTGCTCCATAGAATTTTCTGGCCCATATTTATCTGTCCTGTCAGACTACTTAATTACACATTAATTAAGCGATGTTTTGGCTTCTGTTCTCCTGTTTACACAAGTGGAATCATCTTTCATAAGGACCAATCAGATCATATCTCTCCTGGATCAGCCTCACCCATGGCTTCCTTAGGAAATAATCAAATTTATTTAAGGTACCTTAGAAGCTTTATGTGATTCTTCTGAGCCCAATTTGTAGACCTTATTTCCTATCATCCATTTCCATTCCTCTTTATTATTTTTTTACTGAAATCCTTCCTCCATTTTCCATGAGCATGGAAATATCATTTTTTAAGGTCTTTCACACTTGCTGTCTTTTTATACCAGGAACATAGTCTGCATGCCAATTCATTTCCAATGTCTTCTTCTCAATGAGTTTTTGCAATGTCCTCCTTCACTTGATTTTTATGTCCTATTATAAAATAATCTTTAACACAATGAATTTTGTCATTAAACTGCTTTATTATTTGAGAATTTTTCACTAACCAAATTAATCAAATACTAGTATGACATATGAGGTCAACTAAATCCAAATTTAACATATATTTATACTTTTATTGACACTATTGCCTTAGGAAATTTAGGTTGTATGAAACACTGTGCCATTTCCCAGGGGGTCAGAACTTCCAGATTTTATAATTCCAATTATTGTCTTCACCTAACTTTTCCCTCCCTTGCCAAAGTCTAACTCAAACTATAGTACTGCAATATTTACATAGACTTTTAAATTTAAAATAAAAGCAGTATCTGAAAACTATTCAAGGAATTTTCAAAGAGACTCAGGATTCACTTAAAATGACATTTGGGCTTACTCACTAAGAAGCAATATACTGTCAATACATTTATGAAATGCAAGAGAGTATTAATGAAATTCATATCTTACTTGCCATTCAGTACTATAGGAAGACAAACAGAAACATACCTTAGAAGACTTTTGTTCTATTCTACTGCCCTTGAGTGACTCAATGGGATTAAACATATAAAAGACATTGATTTCAAGATTATATCTATGCAAGATAGATTACATCTATGCAAGATCTAATATAGTCTACTAAAGTAATTTTGTATCATATGGCTTGCTTCATCCAGATGGCTATAATAATGGATTTAAATAAACATGAGTTCTGTCATCTCAAAACATTGCCAATATGAACCATGAAGAATTAATCACATTTCATCATTTCTGACAGAGAAAAGCATTTGCTTGAATGAAATGAAGTTAATATAGTGCAAGGACAGCCGAATGGAAACACTTCTGCTTGATTCACTGAGAACCGAACCAAGTATGAGCTTCACATTAGGGAACTTGTTTTCTCAACCACAATTTTTAGGAGGTGACATGAGAGACCCAGGTCTGAGGAAATCCATCTTGATGGGAACCAAATATTTTATAACTGTCTGCAAATAAACTTAAGTATTGCTTCAAATGGGACAGTATCCAAATTATACTGGATAGTAAGCAAAACATGTCCTTGTCCCTGCTCTCCCTTCACCCCCTCCTCATCGCCCCATTTATAAACACTTTATTTCCATTTTTTTATTTTCTCATATTTTTTTTCTTTTTCCTTATTATCTTTCCCCTACCCTTCCCACTTCCCCTACACCTTTAGCTCTTCTCTTCCTATTTCAAATTGTCAATTATATCATTAGGATCTTATGTACTATTATAGTTTTTCATACCAGAGAAACTATTTGGTATTTACACATGTGTGACTTATTTCACTTAAGAGTATATTCTCGATATGTATCCATTTTCCTATGAATGAATCTAATTCCTCATTCTTTATGGCTGAGTAGTATTACATTTTATAGAAAAGCCACATCTTCTTTATCCAGTTTCCAACTAATGGGTAAATGGGCTGCTTCCAAGTTTTAGCTATTACAAACTGTGCCACTATAAACATAGATGTGCATATATCACTGTGATATGATTCTTTTAATTCTTTTGGAAAGACACGCAACAGAGGGATGGCTGGGTCAAATGGAACCTTTAGTCCCATTTCTTTGAGGTGTCTCCACATTGATTTCCATAGTGATTGCACCAGTCTGCACTCCCACCAACAATGGCAAAAGGGTTCCTTTCTCCTCACAACCCTCCAACATTTGTTATTGTTTGATTTCTTCATAGCAGCCATTCTTTGTGGGGTGAAGTGGAATCTCAGTGTTGTTTTCATCTGCATCTCTCTAATGACCAGTGATGTGGAACATTTTTTCATATATTTACTTGTTGCTTTTACTTCTTTGCCTGAGAAATGTCTGTTCATTTCAGATGCCCATTTTTTAATTG